GATCTTTTCCAGGGAGTCTTCTCTTCTCATGAGATGGCCAAAGTATTGGAGCCTCAGCTTCAGGATCTGTCCTTCCAGTGAGCACTCAGGGTTGATTTCCTTCAGAATGGATAGGTTTGATCTCCTTGCAGTCCAGGGAACTTTCAAGAGTCTCCTCCAGTACCAGAATTCAAAAGCATCAATTCTTTGGCAGTCAGCCTTCTTTATGGTCCATCTCTCACTTCCATACATTGCTGCTGAAAAAAATCATCGCTTTGACTATGCGGACCTTTGTCGGGAAGGTGATGTCTCTGCTTTTTAAGATGCTGTCTAGGTTTATCATTGCTTTCCTCCCAAGAAGCAGGTGTCTTTTAATTTCATGGCTGCTGTCACCGTCTGCAGTGATCATGGAGCCCAAGAAAGTAAAATCTGTCACTGCCTCCAGTTTCTATCAGGTGTCTAAAACAGCCATCCTGAATTACATGTTATGGCGTCAAAGTTACCCTTGACTCAAGGAAAATTCTTTTTAAACTCAGGCTTGACTGGAATTCTTTGAGTTCAACTCAGGCTTCATTGGATTTCTTGGAAATCAACTCAGGCTTCACTGGCTTTCTTCGTATCCCGCCGCTGGTCACAAATTGACCTTCAAGCCTCAGAGCACACAAAGGCAAACAAACCTCACTCTTTACACTTGCTGCCACCAGGCAATCTCTAAATCACCATTTAATTCAGAAAGATCCAGGTCCACACTTCAATTTCTTTTAAATAAAACTTTATTGATTACAGAGATTCATAAATACCTTCAGTAGCTAATCACATCTAAATTTCCCAAACTACACACTCTGTTACTCTGGTCTCTTTCTCTCTACACACTCCCCAAAAATTGATTCAGGCTCCGGCTCTTATAGCATCTGTCTCGGCTCCGCCTCCCAGCAACATTAATATGCATGAACTATTCCTTTACATAACAAACATGAACCATAGATTAAATAAACAGAGAAGGCTACATATGTGTTCTAACGAAATTAAGGATGTCCATTAAAAAAATCTTACATTTCTTTCAAAATTTCTCTTATACGTTTCAGAACAATGACCTCAGAAGAGACATCTTGGCCTGTCCCAATGAAGGCTATTGGGTCACAGAACCTATTGACCATGCCTGGTGGTGTTACCAAATCAGGATACCTACACAAAAAAGGAGGAACTCAGTTTCAACTCTTAAAGTGTGAGTTGGGAGGAAAATAATAATTTGAATTTCAGGCAATCTTAAATGTTAATCCTAATGACAAGTATACAAGTATCTTGGAATGTTATAGAATGTAGTATGCTGCTGATGGTGTGAACTAAATTACTTTTCAGTTTAACCCCATCTGATGTCTTTTCCCCCTCCTCTTTCCATCCCCTTGATCTTGTTTCAGGGCCACTGAGGTTTGTAATTATCCACAAGGGTTGTATTTACTACTTTAAAAGTAGCACATCTGCATCTCCTCAGGGTGCCTTCTCATTGAAGGGCTATAATAGGTGAGTGCAAATATAGTTTTCCACATTGAACCCAAGTCTCTTACTTCATGATAGGAAAATTTGTATCTGCTTTGATGTTTGCAAGTATTTATTGTTCTGTGAGTTTGTTGTATGCTAACATTAGACTTCAACAGATATACTTGCTACACTCACCTTTTGCAGAGTACATTTGTTGCATTCACCAGATGACATTTTTTCTGGTGAGGATAATGAGTGACAAGTAGTTCAGCAGATGTGAGGATCTTTCTATAGGGGAAGGAGAAATGGGGAAGAAATAATTTTGGTTCGTGGTTGTCTCTAGATCTTCAAAAGAGGGAAGGGGAGCTTGTTGCTTGACAGACAGACACTGGAGCTTTGAAAATGAAATTAGGTGAAACACCTGGTTTGCAATTAATTAAATTCTGATAAAATACTGTCCTTCCAGCAACACATTCCTTTAAAGCTGGTCCTGAGAAATCAGCTATAGATGAAGTATTCCGATGACAAAAACAACTCACAAAACAAAGTGAGTTTATTTGAAGTATTCTCTCTACTTGTAGATAAATATATATGTATATATTCTATATGTATATAGAGATGGGGTATCTGTATCCATATACGAATACCCATGCACAGGTAGCAAGAACTTGCGATCGGCGAGCCACTCTACAACCTGGCAGGCAGGCTTGTCGTCCCGCCTCCTGCCAGGAGTGGTGAGCCAATCGTGAGCTCTGGAGTGATAAGAAAGATCACGGAGCTGGCAGCAGCGGTGGAATTGTGAGCGGATGGTCTGGCCCCAGGGAGCCGGACCCTCGTTATCGCCACCTGTACGGGAGAAGTCGTATACAAATACTCCCATCTCTAGTTGTATATATTCCTAAACCTCTCTGCAATTCCCATTTGTGTTGCTTCTACACAGCAGAAGACAGAAACAGAGCATTTGGTGTTGTATGGGGAATGCTCATCCCTCTGATATGATATAAGCTCCAGCAACTTTTATTTTTAAAAAGTGGTCCTGACCCGACCAGATAGGCGGGATATAAATAAAATTAAAAATTAAAAAATGTTAGATGCAAGTTTAGGACTTGCCTGTCTTTGCAGGCTTCCCCAGCACAGTCAAGCCTATAATCAATTTTAAGGATAAAACACCCCCCACTTTACTAAATCAAAATTTCTTTCTTTCCTGCTTTTTCATTGCAAATAGCAGTTTTCCCCGTCCACGTTTTGCAAAGAAAATGCAGGTGAAAAGCGATTGCTGCTTTCCCCCTTCATTTTTGTTCCAAATGTTTTGCAATTAAAATGAAGGGGGAAAATAGGAATCGCTTTTCCCCTCCATTTTCTTTGCAAAACATGGAGGGAGAAACAGGGATCCCTCCTTACTTCCGAATACAAAATGACCCTCAATTTTTCTTTAATTATTTTCGGAAAAAGTATCTTTTTATACACAGAAAAATATGGTATTTCATTTAGACATATGAAAGATCTTATTGTACTGGAAAAGTATATTTTACTCTTTTTACAAACAACACAATTTTTTTAAAATGTCATTATTGTGCAGGGTTATGAGAGCAGCAGAAGAGACAACATCAAGCAATGTATTCCCTTTCAAGTTGGTTCACTTTAGCAAGAAACATAGGACCTGGTTCTTTTCTGCCTCCTCTGAAGATGAAAGGAAGGTGAAAACATATAGGGTTTAAATAACGTATTTAAATGAACATGAGATTTGAAGACAGATTAATTGCTTAGGCTACATTCATTGTAATGAAATAACAATCTGTATTTTTGACCGATGATTAATTCTTTCTGGGTGCTGCTACCACCATACATCTTGGCCTTTGGAAGAAGGAAGCAGATTATTTTCTTTCACCATAATTATTTGTTTGCCATCTTTATCAGACCACTTATCAACATACATTTTCTGGAGAATTATAAAATTGGTAATTCTATACAATAAAGTACAATATTCAAATGCAATAAAACAAAGTAAAACATGGCCAAACTAACAGCAGAAAACCTGTAACAATCTTATTTGAAAATGCTAGTTATTGCAGCCATTTTCACCAGGGGCCCTGACAAATTAGAAGGGGACCACAGAATGGAAACAATTTTTTCACACATTACATTGTGAAGTTTCTTATGCAATGCATGCAGTCCTGGTTTGGCCTGTATTTTTTTATATTGTGTTTATGGCCATGGCTAAAAAAGGTTGAGAATGTCTGATTTAGAAGACCTGGCTAAAAAGAATGATGTCCTCATGGCACTTAAAAGATGATAAAGGAAGGGAAAATATGCATAAGAGGGATTTATTTTATTTATTTATTTGATTTATACCCCACCTATCTGGTCCGAGAGGACCACTCTAGGTGGCTGATGGATGAAAGTACAAATATAGTCAGAACAAAAACAATAGTTATTGTCACAATAAAAACAAAGAAATATGCTAGTAAGACAAACAGATTCACCCAGTTATGATTTCTAGCCAAGGCGCTGGTGTGGAAACAGTTGTCTCCAATTACACATCTGTTCAGACAATATTCCACTATTGGGACTTCCATAATGGAGGTTCTCTCCCATCTTGAATCTCTCACTGGCAACCTGGTGCAGGAAAAGGTACTCCTAAAGATACTTAGGTCTGAAACCATTTAGGGCTTTAAAAGCAGGCACTGGCCGTTCAGTTTACTGTGGCACTAAACAGGCAGCCAGTGCTGTTCCATCAGAACCAGTGATGCCTGAGAGTTGACAAGGTGCTGTGTCACCACGGATACGAACAGCAAATGGAGAAAATTTGCTCCTGCAATTTACACTATTGCTCTTAACACCAGAGTAACTGACTACTAGGATTATGGCCAGCATAATATGATTCGGCTTGTCTGTCTTGGTTACAACATATTACTGTGGCTAAAGCTTATGAGCCATCTTCACGGGCAGACTGATGTACAGTAATCCAGTCAGAGAATAAATTACAGTTACCTGTCTAGCAATGTTCAGAATGTAACTTCTTTACTTACATATTTATGATACATGTTTGGTGTTTTTAAAAAGTCAAATTAGCCCCTCAGACATTATTATTATTAGATAACAGAAGATAATAGAATATTACATGGTTCATAACTGGGTGTGCAGTTGTATTTTTAAAATGTTGAATAAATACAGTATATGTGTTTTATGTAGAAAACACAATGTTTGCCTTTCAGGACTGGATGGCCTCACTTAGGAGAGAAATAGATCGCTACCATGAAAAGAAAGAAGCAGGAACTGATTTAAGGTATGTGCCTCTTGATATAGATGTGGCCCTTGCCACTCTTGTAACTTGCAGTGAAATATCCTTGTAAAGAGCTTCTTTGGAACAGAAAACTGGTAGAATTTATTATTTACCTGTGAATAACTGTAACTACAGTACTCCTGAACAAAAGGAAAACTACATACTACCCTTAAAAAGATTTACAAATCATTGGCCAATATCGTGTGGCATTCCTCCACTGGTGCAATGTGGATCACATCACTAGCAATGGCAAATTGCCACTAATTAAAGAGTTCCTGCTTCAGTTTTGGGTTGGGTGTGTGTCCTGCACAATAAGATGAGTTTGCACAGAAACAAGAACTCCTTAATTATCAGTAATCTGCCACTGCTAACAACCTCACTCTAGTTGTCCTGGTGCAGCCATGCAGCAGAAGCTTGACCACTGTCTTTATATTTTCAGTGCTTTTTTATATTGCTAGTACAGTCATAACTGTATGCATGATTAGTAGAGATGGGCAAAAATTTAAAAATGAATCACTAAATTCATCCAAAAATTGGTAATTTGTTAATTTGTATTTGTATGACTCAATGTGCCTGATAAATACAAATTAATGAATTTTTAGCCATTTTTGATTTGTTGCTTTGTTTGGCTATAATTTGTGGGTGTATAACTTGGATGCCTGAAACCCAATCTTCACCAAACTTGGAGAAATTGTAAAGGAGAGTCAGTAGAAGCTTCCTTGTGAATTTGTTGTCTCCAGGTGCTTGGGAGGCCATTTTATAGGTTTTTAAAGTGAGAAATGAATTGATGAATCAATTTGTTGATTTGTCAGAAAAAAATCATAAATTCATAATTCGTCAACCTTGATGAATCACAAATCAAAGCAAATCACCATTTTGCTGATTCGTGCCCATTTTTAATTGTTAATGTACCCAGCATGCATGTGTTGTAGCTTAACTACTGTGCATGTAATTATAGAGCTGCTCTCCCTTTCATCTCACCTGTTCTTTGCCTGCACATCTTCAGTGGCTTTATATTTCTATGAGCAGGATACAAAATTATAGTTTGTCATGATGCACATTCAGTTACAGAACCATATCAAGTTGTGCTGATGGAATCAAATAAGCGCAAACAAACTAGTGTGGGATTTGTATGGTGCAAGACAACACCATACGACACTTTCAACCTTATATGTCTTTGATTCTGAAGTCTTGCTGTACATTCTGAAACAACAATTTTGTTTCCTAGAACCATTCTGTTTTGTCAGTATTATAATTTTACAGGTGCCTCATCGTTCTGCCATCAATGTGCTTTAATTTTACTGTTCCCCCTAAAGCCACTGTGCAAGTGCCATAACTAAAACCAATTTCCTTTTGTTTCCAGTGACTCCGGTTCAGATGCTGATAGTTTCTATGGCTCCGTAGAACGACCTGTTAATATACATTACTCTCAACATTCAATAGAAAATTCAGGTCAGAGCATAATTTTGAACATCCTTCCCATTAAAAACAACAGAACTTTGTTCTTTAAACACTAACATGATTTTAAAAATATATTGATATAACAAACAGGAAAAAGACAGTAAAGAATCAAACATAAACTATGTTACACTCCCTTGAATTCACCATTCTTGTACAAAATCACTCTTTACATATTTTCTTCACCCAGTACCACCCTCCCCTTCAGGACTAGATTGTAGTACAGCACTTTACAGTTTGTGCCTCCCCATATCTCTCCACAAATACATTGATCATGGGACAATGGTTGTTGTGCCATATATTTTGAGGAAGCCTGAAAAAGGATTTTACAAGCAAAATCAAGATTGGAGTGCCCCAAACAAAAACTATGAAGCTGGACCTCAGATCAGCACCAAATTTGGCATGGATGTAGCAAAAGGTCTGCTCTTGCTCTGTGTCAAAGTTGGGGGCACTTGAGCAAAGGGGTTTTAAGTTGTAATTTAAAAAAATGTAACACTGTTTTACCCCCATAAAGACAGAAGGGACCAGAAATCTCAGGTAATTGAAAAGAGATGAAAAATGTAGATTATTTATTTATTTATTTATTTATTTATTTATTTATTTATTTATTTATTTATTTATTTATTTATTTATTTATTTATTTATTTATTTATTTATACCCCACCCATCTAGTGACAGAGTGCCTGAAATGCAAGAAAGCAAAGTGGCTGTCCAATGAGGCCTTACAAATAGCAGAGAAGAAAAGGGAAACAAAATGCAAGGGAGATAGGGAAAGTTACAGAAAATTGAATGCAGACTTCCAAAGAATAGCAAGGAGAGTCAAGAGGGCCTTCTTAAATGAACAATGGAAAGAAATAGAGGAAAATAATAGAAAAGGAAAAACCAGAGATCTGTTCAGGAAAATCAGAAATATTAAAGGAACCTTTTGTGCAAAGATAAACATGATAAAGGACAAAAATGAGAGGGACCTAACAGAAGCAGAAGACATCAAGAAGAGGTGGCAAGAATACACAGAGGAATTATACCAGAAAGATTTGGATATCCCGGACAACCCAGATAGTGTGGTTGCTGACCTTGAGCCAGACATCCTGGAGAGTGAAGTCAAGCGGGCCTTAGAAAGCTTGTCTAACAACAAGGCCAGTCGAGGTGATGGCATTCCAGTTGAACTATTTAAAATCTTAAAAGATGATGCTGTTGTTACACACAATATGCCAGCAAGTTTGGAAAACTAAACAGTGGCCAGAGGACTGGAAAAGATCAGTCTACATCCCAATACCAAAGAAGGGCAGTGCCAAAGAATGCTCCAACTACTATACAGTTGCACTCATTTCACACGCTAGCAAGGTTATGCTCAAAATCTTCCAAAGTAGGCTTCAGCAGTATATGGACCGAGAACTCCCAGAAGTACAAGCTGGATTTCGAAGGGGCAGAGGAACTCGAGGCCAAATTGCTAACATGCGCTGGATTATGGAGAAAGCCAGAGAGTTCCAGAAAAACATCTACTTCTGCTTCATTGACTATGCAAAAGCATTTGACTGTGTGGACCACAGCAAACTATGACAAATCCTTAAAGAAATAGTAGTGCCTGATCACTTTATCTATCTCCTGAGAAATCTTTATGTGGGACAGGAAACAACAGTTAGAACTGGATATGGAGCAACTGGGAAAGTAGTACGACAAAGCTGTATATTGTCTCCCTGCTTATTTAACTTATATCCAGAATACATCATGCGAAAAGTGCTCATAGTTAAAGCTATGGTTTTTCCAGTAGTGGTGTATGAAAGTGAGAGCTGGACCATAAAGAAGGCTGACCGCTGAAGAATTGATGCCTTTGAATTGTGGTGCTGGAGGAGACTCTTGAGAGTCCCCTGGACTTCAAAGAGAACAAACCTATCCATTTTAAAGGAAATCAACACTGAGTGTTCACTGGAAGGACAGATCCTGAAGCTGAGGCTCCAATATTTTGGCCATCTCATGAGAAGACTCCCTGAAAAAGACCCTGATGTTGGGAAAGTGTGAAGGCAAGAGGAGAAGGGGACGACAGAGGACGAGATGGTTGCAGAGTGTCATCAAAGCTACCAACATGAATTTGACCCAACTCTGGGAGGCGGTGGGAAGACAGGAGGGCCTGGCGTGTTCTGGTTCATGGGGTCTGGACTGCAAAGGAGAACAAACCTATCCATTTTGCATGAAATCAACCCTGAGTGCTCACTGGAAGGACAGATCCTGAACCTGGGGCTCCAATACTTTGGCCATCTCATGAGAAGAGAAGACTCCCTGGAAAAGACCCTGACGTTGGGAAAGTGAAGGCAGGAGAAGGGGATGACAGAGGATGAGATGGTTGGACAGTCATCAAAGCTACCAACATGAATTTGACCCAGCTCTGGGAGGCAGTGGAATACAGGAGGCCTGGCGTGCTCTGGTCCATGGGGTCACGAAGAGTCGGACACAAAACAAAACATCAAACTTTTTTTTTTTGCCTTGGCACTATGTTTTGCTTTGGCAAAGTGGGATGCCTCCCTGCCCCCTTCCTGCTGCCCCGGTTGCCTGGCCTACCTTCTCTTACTGCTTCTGTCATCACTACCACCACTGCCTACCCAGGTGCCATGTGCAAAGGCAGTGCCCTGGCATCTTGCAGGGAAGTAGGTTGCTGCCTCTGCACACACACCTGACCCTCAACTAATCGCCCTGACCAGCATTTATTGCCTTGCAAAACAGGCAATAAAGGATCCAGGCCTCCCTCGGCATTAGCCCCTCAGCCATCCTTCCTGGCTAGTACGATTGATTCGGGCATATTTAGGTGGGAGGAGACATTCCTCTAGATAGCAAGGTCCTAAATAGTTAATTAAGACAAAATTTGCAAACCTGGGGAGAAAAACAGCCATTTTAACCTCTTGTTTCTTTTTTTAATCCACAGGAATTTGGTCATTCATGGCTCAAATTGAGACCCTTTAATTATTGCTTTTTAAACCCCTAAAATCACTTCCTTTTTAAATAACTTCTGACAATTTTGAAAGCATTTGCATAGCATCCTTGCCAATCAGAATGTGTCTCCAGTCAGCCAACCAAGCAGGTGCCTGTCACTTTTAACCTTGCCATAGCCTACAAGGTAAAAGAAAGCATTCAACTCCTTCCTGGCCAGACATTCTTAGCTCCTGCCTGTAGAAATATTTTAAAGCTATTTTAAGAAATAGATACTAATATGCCTGTATAATTAAAAAATTGTAAACCGCCCGGAGAGTGCTTGTAGCGCTATGGGGCGGTATATAAGTCCAATAAATAAATAAATAAATATAAAATAAAGCTATTTTAAGAAATAGATACTAATATAGAGCAGGTTACTCATTTAAGCTGTGAAATTACTGGTTTTTTCCCCTTTGTGACTTTGAATGGTATCAAAGCATGTTTTACACAATTTACCTATGAGTATGTTTGCCCAGTTTACTCATAGATTTATGGATCCACATGATTTCATATGATTTTCAGATGTTATCCTCCCTAGGCCTATATTAGACCATGCAGCCTATTTGTACCCACCAAGTGCACCACAGAAATCATGGCTCCCCCACTGCATGGCTTTGCAATGGTGTAAAAACATGGATCTGATGCATGGATCCCCATGAATCCATGTGATTTTCATGCAAGATCATCCCCCAAACCACTGTCCAATCATAGGCCTCATTGGTGGCTATTGGCTACACCATGGAAATCATTCCCCAGCTCATGGCCTTGAACTGGTGCAAAAACACCTCATGAATACACATGATTTTGATGTAGGATCATCCCCAAACCACTGTTCAAAAATCATGGATCCCACATGATCTTTCTGAAGGATCATCCCCAAACCAGTGTCCATTCATAGGCCCCATCTGTGCTCACAGACTACACCAGAAAAATCACGGATCCCTGAGTGTCTGGCTTTGTAGTTGCACAAAAAAAGGATCAGAAGCACAGATCCTCATGGATCCACATAAAGTTTTCTGCAGGATCGTCCCCAAACCACTGTCGAATCATAGGTCCCATCACTACAAGAGACAAATAAAAAGTCCACCATCACATGCCTTTGCAGTGGCGCAAAACACCAATATAAGTCAGAGATGTTCATGGATCCACATGATCTTTCTGAAGGATCATCCGCAAACCAGTGTCCATTCATAGGCCCCAATTATGCCCACAGGCTACACCACAGAAATCATGGGACCCTGAGCACATAGTTTTGCAGTGGTGCAGAAACACAGATCTGATGCATGGCCTTCCAGGAATCCACATTATTTTGATGTAGGATCTTCCCCCAAACCATTATCAAATTGTAGGGCCCATGGACAACAACTTTAGGACTGCAGAGATGGAAGGTACCCTGTGGATCATCAAGTCCAGTCCTTGACAAAGAAGCACAGTGGGGAAGTCTTCACAGCCAGGGACTCAAACCACTGAGCTGTCCAGCAGTTCTAGGATCCACAGGTTTTTACCATCGCCAAACCAGTACAGTATTCAATAATAGGGCCCATCTGTGCCCATAGATTACATCACATAAATCACGGATCTCTCAGTGCATGGTTTGCAGTGGTGCAAAACATGGATCTGATGCATGGATCCTCATGGATCCATGTGATTTTTAACTAGGATGATCCCCAAACCACTGTCCGGCCAAAGGCCCCATTTGTGCTCATGTATTAAAACACAGAAATTATGACTCCAGGTACACTCTGATTGGTCAGAATGTTATGCTATGCAAATAGTTCAGTCATTTAGAATGTACACATTTCTATTATATGTGCAATGGTAGGATAGACTCAGGTTAATCGTTTTAGCTCGAGTGAGAGTACAGGCTTGACTTTACTGAGCACCCACTTTTCTGCGTTTCTGGCAATATTTAGTATCTCTACCAACACCGCATTTCAAATGACTTGATTTTTGTCCCTCTCTTTCTTCACTATCTTCCTTTCCCATAGTATGTGTGATTTTGACCTTGCTTTCCAGTGTCATTCTTTGCTAACTCCAACCTTTTCCTTTTTTTTAAATTTCAAAAAGCAAAGGAACATATTTTGAAAAAATATGTACACAACATATCTCTAGAAATTTGGGCCAATACAACTTTTCTTCCTCAGCTTACCTAACTCAGAGAAGAGGATATGAAATTGGAACATAGCATTCCAATCTGTGTTTGGCTGAGTGGGGGAGCCAGTAGGGGTGGGGGAAGGGAACCCGTGCCACGTGTGGATGAGTGGGGAGTACACACTGGGGCCTGAGAGAAAGGCCTCCTGGAAGATCTTAAAAAGCAGATGGAGTTGGGTGTCATCAGCACACTGGTGGTACCAACCCACAACATTCTGGGCAGCCTCTTTCAGGTTTTTCATATATATGTGAAATAGTGTGGGGAACCCTGGGACCCTGAGACACTCCACAAGCTAATGGTCAAGGTGTTGAACAGGAGTCCCCCAGCGCCACTACCACTCACAAAGTGACGCCACACAAGAGAAAATCCCAGAAACTGATCCCTTTTTTCATCAGTGAACCACTTCTCACCCAAACACAAAGCAATTATCAGGGCTGTTTTACAAGTACAAATGGTAGTGAGCAGAAGAAGGTATCCTGTAGACCATCTTGACTGCTGCCATTGGTATTGTCAGCATTCAGGCTGCCCTTTGCTGTGTAAAGCTTGGCATCCTTTTTCCTGCTGGCAATGTAGGCATGATATTTTGTGGCAATATTGGGCCATTTCCTGGCTTTTTGAATCATGGATACAGTAGCACAATATCCCACATTCATAAACCGGAGGTTTTTTAAAGAATTGAATTATGCTTTTGGTGTGTGCCCCTTCTCTTTGCTCAAGACATGCTCCAAAAATGCATTCCATATTTCTCTAAAATCACTGTTGACATTCATCTTATTTTCGTGTCATGAGTCAATTTATCATTAATCGCCATATTCCATATTTCTCTGAACCATTCCTCCATATTAATCTGATTTTCACTTTTCCAATTCTTTGCAATTATTAACTTTGCCACAATTACCATTATGGTAATTAACTCTTTTTCTTTCCTCTTTCCTTGTTTTTCATTAACAATATTCAATAAGGCAATCATAGGAGACAATTGTGTATCAACTCTAATTATATCCCTTATATCATTAAAATCATCTTCCATGCTTTCCTTCTTATTTTGCAAAACCACCACAGTGATAATAAATTTTTGTTTATTATGTTTAACTTAACTGGTGTTAAATAACATTTCCATGACACATTATAGCAATTTTCTTTAATTCTTACTGACATATTTTTCATTAATCTTTTATTCCATATCTTGCTCCATTCTTCCCCTTTAATTTCCTTTCTCTTATCCTCCTGCCACAAGTCTTTTATTATGGGTGTTTCATATTCTGGCTGTACCAGTTTTTATATATTTTCCTTACAATATAATTCCTATTTTTTTATTATTTCCCCTTTCTGTCTTTTTTCTACATTCCCCTCAAACTTTGTCAATTTTCTTCCCTTCCCTTCCTTCCTTTTCCACTCCCTTTCCACCCCTTTGTCCATTTTTTTTAAATTTGGAGTATGTTCAACCATGAGGTCTCCTCTTCTCCCATCAGCTCTCTTATTTGCTCTTTATCTTGAATCTTTTCCATCCAGTCCTTAATTCTTATAATCCCTTCATCCTTTATTAACAACTTTCCTCTCCATTTAAGATTTTCTGGGAATTTCTTTGTGTCGGCCACCTGAGTCAGAGGGGAAATTGGTGGGCTCAACACTGTTCTATAGCTTTGCCAACTTTCTAACAAAGTTTTCAGAAAGGGGTTTGCTATGTTACCAATCTCTTCCCAAATTTTTTCTTTGAACAGGATACTCTCCAAATTTTCCTCACTTCTGCTCCTTTCAAATAATTTACATATCATGTTTTTATTATTTAATATAATACATATCTGAAACATGTCTTCATTGATTCACTCTATAATATAGCTTAATGTTGGATATACCTAGGCCTCCTTCCTTTGATGACATGTACCACCATTTTTTTATGAATACTAGCCCTTTTATTTCCATTAAAGTACTTCTTGATCAGGATCTGCCATTCTTTAACTGTTTTTCTGTTATCTTCATCTTCATTATGTCTTGAATTTCCCAAGTTACGTTTATCTCTAAATATTTAATAGAGTTTTTAAGCTTCCCTTCAAATTTGTTTTTCATCCTCACTTTCCCTTATTCATCATAATGTATTAATATGCATTCTGACTTATTCCAGTTAACCCTTCATCCTGTTATTTCTTCAAACTGTTTTAAGTGTGGTTGTTGTGGGTTTTTCAGGCTCTTTGGCCGTGTTCTGAAGGTTGTTCTTCCTAACGTTTTGCCAGTCTCTGTGGCCGGCATCTTATTGTTGTGATAAGGAGGAAGAGATTGTCTGTCACTGTGATTGATGGGTGTCATTAGCTGGTCTTTTGTGTGCAGTAATCCCTGGTCCTTGTGGCTGGGTAGAGTGCGCTGACCTTTTGCAGGCTGTATTTTTCAGTGCTGGGAGCCAGGCCTTGTTGAGTTTTAAACCTTCTTCTTTTTTGTTGAAGCTCTGCTGGTGATTGTGGATTTCAATGGCTTCCCTGTGCAGTCTAACATAATGATTGTCCAGTACTTCAGTATTTTGAAATAGAATTTCATGTCCAGGTTGTTTTAGGGCATGTTGGTTGGTTGGTCGGTTGGTCAGTCGGTCTGTGTCTACCCTATTTTCTCTGGGCTTGGTCCTTCTTACACAGTCCAACTTTATTCTGTTTTTTCATTGAGTGGGAATTGTAGTCTAGGGAATGCCTGATTCAGTCCCAATAATATTATTTCATCTGCATTTTTTCCTTACAGAAGGGAAAAACATAAATCAGTTTTGAAAAACAGGAGATTAACGTCTTGTGCTTTTGCTGTGGAGACTCCCCCGCCCCTTTCTGACCCTTTAAGAACACTGTCTTGAGCTCTGCACTTCTTGCTGGAGTGGCTGACTTTTCTTCCTTATTGGTGACATGTGCTGTGTTTCTGTTTGATCCCCATCGACTAATCTCTTCTGTTGGGTCTCGCCTATGCTACAGTGGATTTCCCCCGCATATCACAGCTCTTTCCAGCCTTGTCAGTTCCTTCCTGCTATAGAACTCATTCCTTTTTTGCAGGGTCTGTGTGGCTTCCCATCACTCAACAGGAAGAGAATTTATGTAGGCATGTGAGCAGAATGCCAATGGCTTTCTGTCAATTCCAGCCGAACCATGTTTACTTCTATTTGGGCCAGCTGTGTTATGAACAAGTTGCTGACTGCTGCAGAATCCCTGAATATTCTTTGGGTATAGCATCTAATGAGCTATGTTTACTTTTTCAGATTATGACCAGGATGAAGATGATGAATACTTACAGCCAGATAATTCAGATAGTGTAAAGTGTGAAGGTATGTGGGGTCAAAGTATGATACACAGGTGCAAAGTTCTAAACAAATTAAAAGCAGTAGTATTAGTGAGTTACTTAGCAGTGTAGGAGCCCCTCTGAAGCAATGAAAAGATTGTCTATGTAACAATAGTTTCCATCTTCACTGTGAAAGCTACTATGCCTGTTTTGTTTCTGTCAAGATTCTATAATTTGAGTTCATTATTTGGATGAATGTTACCCTTCCTATCACAAAATCTATGATACTCTAAGCTTTCTCTGAACATCTCAGGCTCTGCCTATATGCTGTGCTCTTTCTATGTATGTTGTTGTCTAGATATTGTAATCTGTTCATTCCGGTAAACCGTTGTTGCTGGTTTTTTTGACACAGATCCAAAAGTCTTTCCGCCATCTTATCCACCTCCTCCAATTCCTCCAATGGGAAGAGCTTCCTATACAGAGACAAAATCACGTTCATTCTCTGGCAAGTGCAGTGTGGGTGTGCTTCTACCGCCATCCCTGAAAAAAAGTTTACCTGATATTAGGCCTGAATTTCTACTGAGTAAGAAAAGGGAACCCCCTTTTCATTGCCAAGCAGAGCATAATGTGAGGCCCCACTCAACAGGTCAGGCAAGTGGCCAAGGATCACTGGTGCCTCCAGTTCCTCCAGCCAAAAACCCCATATCTGTTAGAAACTCTTGTTTGGGATCAGCTGAACGTCTGCCACCAGCCTGTGTGTCATCTACTGCTGAAGTGTGTGAGAGGCTTAAAGACTTAAAAGCTTTTGTACAAGCACCACCTCCATTGCCAAGCAGCAAGCCCAAGTTATCATCATTTACTGTGAATACAGTGGACCTAAAAGCACCCAAAAAACAGGGGGAGCCTGGACTTCTGATTCCTGAAGTACTGTTTAATTCTCAGGTGCCCAGTGACAAACCATCTCTGCCTATATGCAAACCAGAGAAGCCTTTGCCTCCACAGTAAGTTGGAAAACAGAGTTCATGGCGTAAGGTATGGGCTTTTTCAAACAAGAATCTGATGTTAATCGAATAGTGTTGGGAAAACAAATAATAAACTTGCTCTTCTTTCACATCCTTCACTTGAAATGAGCTCTTGTCCACAGATCCAGATGTGAGCAGGAAAAGCCCAATGGCTTCGTTTCCATTCTTTGTGGGGAGTGATACTCTGCATAGGAGAGCTTCTGATACCTGACGAGGCTTCCTCGCCCAGAATGTCACTCTGACAATTAAGAGAATTACAGTTAAGGGGGCAGGACTCTCTGTTAACATGTTTACTTGAATCCCGTTAGGGCTCTTCTGCATCAGGTATTTGCTACACAAAATGTATCTGATTGGTCCCGGATATGCTGACCTTTTTCTTCCTATGCTTACTCCTGCTAATCCTCACTTTTAGTGTATTTGTATAGGGAGATGTTACATGAAACGGCCCATTATATTCACAATTGGCATGTCTCAGTAAAATTTACAAATTTGTATTTTTCAACCAATCTTGTCCAGGGCTTAGTTCATGTGGATCACTAGATATGTACAAATCTGCTTTACTGTTGTATGTTACTTTTTAAATTCCAGTTTAGGTTCTGTGCCTACTAGGCGGTTAGCCCCTGATGGACAAAGTTTCCGAAGTCCTTCATTTGAAAAACTAGCAGTGCCTTCAAAATCAAAGTTTTCTGGAGAAGATTCAGATGACGACTATGAAAAGGTAAGGCAGCTCATTTGTATTGAGTCATACCTTACAGATGTGTTCCACAACATTGATATGTCTAATTCTTAGAAATGAAATGTGAAACTTCAGATGATCCTTAAATGAACTACTCTTGTATTGGCTGCCTCATTTGTATAGCTACTTGATATACTACTAACACCTAGTTTTAATTTTTTTTATTGTGCTTTTGAATTATATATGCACTATGGGAAAAATGAAATGGGGAGGAAAAGAAAAAAGAAAAGAAAAGAGGGGAGAGAATATAATCATTAGCTAGGCGTGTACATTAACTGATCATCAATTTATTTACAAGTTTATGGAACCTAGCTTAAAGTATACAGGTAAAGGTAAAGGTTCCCTTTGACAGTTTGTCCAGTCATGTCCAACTCTAGGGGCCGGTGCTCATCTCCGTTTCCAACCCGTAGTGCGGGCGTTTTGTCCGCAGACAATCCTCTGTGGTCACATGGCTATACATGTCTACAAATATATTTTTTAAAAATACCAAGTTAATTTGCTGCAATACATATGAACAAAAGGAGACACTAGGTATCATGCCCTGAAGTGGCCGGTTTATTTTGAAATAAACATAGCGGTGTGTAATGTGCCCAGTCAGCAGTTTTTGCTGAGCCAAGCTGAAGGACCGCTTCATATCTAAAGAGATCTCAAATATTGAAGCTAGGGTAAATGTCCACTGGTTAATTTTCACTGGACAGCCCAGTTCTTTGTTCCACTTTGTTCTCATTTCATTAAGATGAATTTTAGTTCCTACTAGCTGACTATGTAGCTAATTGGATTGCTCAGTAAGTTGGACCCCTGGCTGTGGAGGCAGAGGTTGGGAATTCAACTCTCTACTGTGCCTTGTAGGAGAAGAGCCAGATTTGTGTAAGTTGGGTAAACTGCATGGTCCCAAAGCATCCACAGAAGAAAGGGATGGTAGACAATTTCTGAGTACTATCTACCTAGAAAACTGTGGAAATGGTCACCGTAAGTCAAAATCAACTTGACAATATGCAATTTTTACAGTAGATTTTAAGTAAACTATGATAATTGGTTGCCAGTTTCTTTGAAGATGCAACTAGTGTTTCTAAAGGAACTGACTCAAACATTGTGTGTGTGACTTGATCATCAGATGGATATGTTCAAATGTGACCGTTATATCAGTCTTGCTATGCATAGTACCCTTTTTATTCTCTTTCCCTGCTAATACTCACCTTTTTTTTGTAGGTTGAGCTGCCTAATTCAGCATTTGTTAACACCTCAGACTCCCTTGAAGTTGAAAGGTAAAAAAAAATTCTATGTAAACAGTTGGGATTTGGGTAGTGTCTAGGTTCACTTACAAAAGCGGCTGGGAAATATGAGTGGGAAATAGCTGGAGAATGGACAAAGGGGAAAAAGCCAAAAATCTGGTCATGAGTTCTGACCTTGACATTGTAATAAAAGAGGAATGCTGGAAAGCAGAGGTTTGTGGAAATGTATGGCTAGGCTAGAGTTAAGATTGCCTTATCCTTATGTCTGTGTACTAGCTTCCCCTAGCAAATGTGCTGCTGTTACATCCTTATCAGCCATTTTCTAAACTGTTTTCAGAATAAGTAATTTTCCCAAAAAGTTAGCCGTCAGGTTTAGTCATCATGATAGCCATATTTTAGAGCTGTTTCCTGGTATTTCATATAAGTGACTATTTGGTATTTCCCACACAATTTTAGGATGTTCAAAGCTGAAAGTTCCACAGGACATCCAAAAAATGGATTATTCTGTATCAGGAATTCATCCACAAAAACTGGAAAGGTAACAGAATAAATTCTAAGGATTTTATAAATTAAATGGCATGTGTTTTCTTAATGTCAGATTCTCAAACTGCTTGTTTTTCACAGGAAAGTATATCTGATTTAATGTGGTTTATGTGCATCATTATTTGTAGCTATCTCCCTTAAAATTATTGATTCACCCAAACACTTTATGTTTGATAGATTATCAAATCTTTCAGCAGCCTGGCAAAAATTAGTCATTTTTAGGTAGCTTTCTCTACTGCTGCTCCAAGTGAGGCCTATCTCATCAGAACCATATAATGCAAAACTGGCCCTGAGAGAGGCTGCATGTTGAAATATATTGGACCTACCTTATGAAAATTTCCATTTCTTAGCACAGGTTTAAGGCTTTGTCTCCTCCACCCTACCCAAATTTATACTGCCCACTAACTTACAATAACTTACAACAGAGCTTCTTCTGGAGGAAGTGGAGTTTGAGAACATGCACATACAATTATTCCAGCATGGGCTGTGAAATGGTCTGTTTGCCTTTTTTCCCTTGGGTCATCTTGTACTGTCAGTGAGTTTAAAATAATAAAAGCAGAAGTTACCTATCATGTTCATGTCTAGAACAGATCCTTGTAAGTAGCTTCCTTTTATTTTAACTTATGCTGGCAATGTGCTGAGTGGAGGGGGATAACTGGTATGATGATTGATATGTGATTCTGTCTGCTTATTCAAGGTATTAGTTGTGTGGGATGAATCTATTGAGAAAGTGAGAAACTACAGGATCTTTCAACAGGTGGGTAAAAGGATGGTACATTCAATAAATTTACGGTAGCTGCATGAAACAACATGCAATTTACTTTTAATTTAATGTTCTTCTACCGAGTGTATTTTTACAGTAACTCCAGACATAGAAATGGTTGATGACGGAAACAAGTGCTAAATAAAATTTTCCACCCTTTTGGACAATCTTTTTATTGTGCCTATTGTTCATTGATGTTGCATTTCAACTTCTGTATCCCACCACCCTTTAAAGTCTGAGATTTCTCTTTGGTCTTTCTTTACCAAGTAGACAATATAGAGCTGATTTTTTGTTTTGAAAATTGTGGCTTTTTATGCCCATCCTTAGACTGACTAGCTTTTCATGGAATGCATCTAATCCTTGATTGTGTTTTCTTGGGGGAGAACTTGGAACAACACAACATCACCCTTTGGGGTGCAGATTTATGAGATCAACTTTTTGTATTCAGGGTGCCTTTTTAAAACACAAATAAGCATTCTCAGGAGAAAGGATCAGTTTTGAGTTTTGCTGTTAGTCTGTGGGCTGCACTCCTCCCTCCAGTAAACTATTGAAAATGGACAATGTGATCTATAACTGGAAATTAACATCACAACTTCCAAACTGCTTTTCTCACTTTGTGACAGCTATTTAATGTTTATTTCAACTTATTTTGTTTTATTTAGTAGTCTGGCACGTCCTCAGGCAGGAAGACAAACATGCCACAGGTGTTGCCAAGTCCTCATTGCTGCTCAATCAACATCCATATCTTTTGTCCAGTACAGACTGTGACACAGTATCCTCTGCCTCCTCCTCAATCTGCCCTGCTAAACTCTTTCACAGAACATCTCTGTTCACTCACTATGTACACAAGCTCCTGGTCATGGTCTTTGAGAGATTCAGAGTGTAGGTTTAGAATGGCAGCTGCTATCTCCTTCCTTACCAAGCTAGTTATGTTTGTTTGCTTTGTCTCTAGGCATTACATTGCTGTTGATTGTTCATTTTTTATTTTGTAACAGTGTCTCTCTGCTTGTGGGACACAGAAATGGTGTTGGTGGGATGCAGGGGTTCTTTTTACATGAAATAATGAAATTACTTTGTGTTTCAGTCTTAGTAATAAAATATATCTTTAGTCTTCACTGATTATTCTTGTGTTTTACAGATACCATAGCATTATCATTTATGCTAAACAGGATTATAATTTTCAGCTATTTATAAAAGTTTTGGTTTGCTTGTATGCTTTCGTTTGCAGATATTACTATTATAATTTTTATATTCTTAAACTTAATAGTAAATTATTGATATGTTCATAAAATGCCTTTAAGTGTCTTTCTCAAAAAAAGTGATTTTGTTTCTAGCCTGGTGTGACCCAAGTTCTTTAATAGAGCATTTGGTGGGACATTACATGTGGAAGGTTGAGATCTACTGATTATAAGGATCTATGGATGAACATCTGATTTTTCACATTTAGATATATGTATGTTTTAACTAGGGAGAAATAATACTTTTATCTGAATACCAACAAAATGTAGGCTTAGTAACCTTGTTTCATTTAGCTGTAGCCACATGTTACATTTTGTTACAGTATATCAGATTTCCTGCATTACTGAGCTGCTGTTATTGGTCCTTGTTTTATTGTCATGGGATGTTTCTGTGGTGAACCGTAACCAAAGATGTCTTTTTAATCTTCCAATAGGACTCCAAATTTCACCTGGAGGCAAGTGTACTTTTCAAGAGTCTCGGAGGTCTTATTGAATACTACTGCAACCATGTCTTGCCCAGCCATAACAATTTGATGCTACGATTGCCATATGGTTCTGGACAAAGGTGACAGACCTTCACAGTCCACTCTTACCATCAAGCATTGTTGCTAAATATGGGTTTACAGATTTCAAATGTTTATATTCCCAGTGGACTGAGGATGGGAAGAGGTGGCCCTCTAAATATTGTTGGACTGCAACTTGAATAATCTCTCACCATTAACTATGATGCCTAGAGTTGCTGGAAAGTACAGTCCAGCAGCACATGGAAGGCCAGATGTTCTCCAACCCTGCTGTAAACAAACAGGAATGTATGTACTGTTTTCTCTGCACTTTCACAGAATGTCTGGGTCTGTTATGGCAAAGTACAGTATTTTTCTACAAGGTTTTCTGGCCCAGATTCCATATAATAAGTAGTGGGACACATTGCCAGAAGAGGCTCAATGTGATTTTGTATAATTGTTATCTCTGTGATGTGACTGATCAGTAGGTACCCTTCCTAATCTGTTATACTTTCTCTTAGACCTCTAGATATAAAGATAGACTAACTGACACAACTATTAAAATAGAAAGGGTGTGACTTGATGGGGGAATTTGGAGTGATCCTGGTCACTTTTAAAAGATTTTTATCTTTGCTTTTATCTCTTTTATCTTGCACTTGAGCAATTCTTCCATTTACATGAGAGATGTTCCTTCTCCTGTGAGAAGGATCCAGATGGCACTTAAGATTGCTCCAGTTTATCTCCCTTTTGATTATTGATGTCCCCTCCCCTTTCCCTGTCTTTTGTTGCAGATGTTGCTCTGTAGGCCACAATTACTTCCCTTTTTAAATTGTGTTTAAATTAGTAAGTGGCATAATGCTACAGCCTAGCATGGATACTCCCTTATGCCTGAAATAGCACTATGTCACTTAGTATAATATTTAAAAAATCTGAGAAGAAGAAGATAAGAGGAGAGGGTTTCTCCACCAACTTTTCTATTGTCACAACCCACTGCATACATCACAAGGTTGTCAATGAAGAGAATGCTGTTCATAACTCTGTTTGGGAGGAAATTAAGCAACTACATAGCCTGCAGAATGGAATAATCAGGAGCACTCCTAATTGCACCAAATAAACTACAGTCCTAGTGCTGTGCCAGAAAACAGTGTAACAGCTTGCAAAAGGGGTGGGGTGGATCGCTCTTACTTAAAACACATGTGCTCACTGGAAAAAAGGGTGAATTAAGCCACACTAAAAGAAAACCAAACCATAAGCAACGTGTTAATGACCACTTATTTGTTTTCCTGAATCAGCACTGATGTTTGACAAAGTATTGTACTGATTTATAATTAAGCTATAATGGACACAGGACCTCACATAGCATGCTGGTTTTTAGACTGTGAATTAAGCAGGCTTTAGATCATGTCTTGTAAACTAAGCCAATTGCACCCTTAGGATTATGCCAAACCTTAGTGTCCTTACAGTGCCTTTCTCCACTATATTATAGACCAGCATGAAGGTGCTCTGCCATTTTTTATATTTAAGGAACTTTTGGCCCTCCAAGGCATTTTAATGATGGTGGTGCTGTTCACAAAGTATACACCACACCTCCCTTCCTACTCAATGGACTCTAGAATGCTACAAAATTAACAGCATGCCAGCTTATCTGAAAGTTCATTTAGTTAAGAGTGAATTGTAATCATAGGAAAATATGCAATCTGATTACACACACACACACACACACACACACACACACACACACACACATTTAGATATATGTATGTGCATACACACATGTTTTTGCTTTTGCTGCCAAATCTATAGGTTACATTTATTAACTGATAATGTAATGTAATATGCTTTTAACAATATGGTTAATGTGAAAGCTAAGTCTGCTGTCGTCTGATCATATTCTAAATACTGTTAATGATGAACTCCTGTGAGGTAGGCACTTGACTCATCTGAATTTATCCAAAGAGGCTTTTGAATCTGGCACTGTACTGAAATTTCTCTCTTTTGTATATTATTATCTAACTCAATATTCAATGAACAGTAAATAGTTCATTAAGGTAGCTATCATTGTGTATCATTAGAATTCTGCTTCTTTGGAAGGATATGAGTCATGAATATTATTCTTGAAGGCATGGCACTTCATGAAAACTGTTCATCCTATCATGACAAAAATATCCACTTCTCTGTGATTTACCTCTGCTCTGCTTACATCTCATACTTTAGTCTTCAACAGAACTTGCCCAGCTGGATAATCATAGAATTGGAAACAAACTCAAAAAGGCCATCTAATCTAACCTTTGGTGATGCAGGAGGCCTACTACTACAGCTTCCCTGATAAGCAGCTTTCTAACCTCTGATTTACAGACATCTAGTGGGGTTCCACCTGCTGGATTCTAAAGCCTGAGAATTGATCCAAGAGTCTTCCAGACTTAGAGACCTTCATGGAAGAAAATCAGAAGCCTGTGCTCATCACAGCTGACATTTATCCCAGTAAAGGATTAATCTCAGAATGAAACCAATCACAGACAATCATATCAAAATTAATCTGAATATCAAAGTAAGTAATAATTTTGCAATAATGTTGCAATAATTCCAGACTTGTTTGTTTATTTCTGCAAGCTTTGTTTATCTACATTACGTCTATGCACAAAATCACTTACAAACATTTTACAATTATGAAAAAAACTGTAGGCACATACAGTATACTTAAAATATATTCCTGCAATTTATGAAAAAATACAAGTGTTAACACTTAAATTCTAGGCAGAACTTCAATCAAATTTGAATATAAAATACAGGGCCATTTATTTTAAGAGTAAAAAGAAAAAATGAGAATGTTTTAAGTTACCTTCCAAAAATACAAATGCTCAAATTCTTATAACACATAAAGGCAGAGAATACATTTGAAAGTAAAAAGCAGTATAACTTTAAGCCTTCTTGCAAATACATTTAAAAGTCAGATTTCTTAAAATAAGAATATATAAAATAAAATGTAGCCTCTAAACATCTTAATAGCACAAGCAAAATTGTTAAGTATTATTCTCATCCAGCCAAGCCTGTTTAAAGTCTATGGAAGAACTTCTATTGTTGATTTTCTAGTGCTGCTCCTGCTTCCGTGATATCAGTGTTATTGATATCCAGCTTGTGTAGCATAATGAAGCTGTCTTGTTATGAATGAATGCCTCAGTGTATGGATCTGTATAGCTCTTATTTCCCCATTTTTAAAAGTTGTTCATATCTTCCCAATCTGTAAACAACCCATTTTAAAGAACATGTCAGTTATAGGAATCAGTTGTTCTAAGCAATTATTTGTCCAATCCAAATTCTCATTATGTTTGCACCCCTTTGTGATTTCATGGGTCTGCAAACTTATGTTTGGCTGGCTGCTACTATTGTGATAAGCAGAACTGTTATAACTAATGTTTTGCAGATCATCTGGCACCCTTCCCCCAAGAGCTTGTACTTCTAATCACTTGTACTTCAGCTGTGACGGACAGGTGACGGCAGGGCTATTCGCTACACACCTCCCCCCTTAAAAAGTTGTTTCATGGGGTAAAAGCTATAGTGCTTTACCCTCATGAACAACAAGGAGCTTTACAGTAGTTAACCATCCACTACGTAACATTACAATCGTATTTTGAAAATTGTATTTTAAAATGTGAGATTTGAAATAACATCATCTTCTCAAAATGCAAGGTGTTCAGAAGATTCAGAGAGAGTCCATATATATCTTATTTGATATATTTAATGTTGGTTATAAATAATCTCTCTAGATTGAGAGTGAAGACCAAAGTCCAGCTGAAAAGCATGGCAAACTTCCTCTTCGCAGATGATGCAGCTGTTGTTGCCCATCTGTTGAAGACCTCCAACAACTCATGAATCACTTTAGTAAGGCCTGCCAAGACTTTGGACTAACAATCAGCCTGAAAAAAACACAAGTCATGGGCCAGGGCATGGACTCACCTCCCTCTATTACCATCTCCACACAAGAATCAGAGGTTGTTCATGATTTCGTGTACCTTGGCTCAATGATCTCTGACACTCTCTCCCTAGATGTCAAGCTGAATAAACATACTGGCAAAGCAGCTACCATGTTCTCTAAACTCACAAAAAGAGTATGGCTCAATAAGAAGCTGACGACACATACCAAGATCCAGGTCTATAGATCCTGTGTCCTGAGTACACTCCTGTAATGCAGTGAATCCTGGACCCTTTGTGCAAGGCAGGAGAGGAAGCTGAAGACGTTCCATATGTGTTGTCTCCAACACATTTTTGGTATCA